ATATTAATTAGATAGAATGATATACTAATTTCATCTTAAAATATTCAAAGTAAAAATAATATTAAGAGTTTTTTCTATTTAATACTAATTTAAATATGATATTATAATCCTAAATGAGTAAAAAAGTATTCCATTTCAATAAAAATTGAAATTGTTTTCAGGCCACAAATAAATATTTAATCGTATTAATTAAAACAATGCTGGGATAAATACTCTAGATGACAGTTTGATTCTTTTAGGTTTATTATACGAAGGTTTGGATCAAATTATCACAATCTTTGAATCTTGCAATCAATTTTTTAAAAGTTCACTATACTAATTTCACTTTGAATTAATTATAGTAGGATTTAATTTCTTTTTAGAGAAAAAGAGATTCTCAAAATTGAGGTTCAATTATTTATCATTATGAATTTATGGTGATGCTGTTATTGATTGATGCTCTTTAAGTATCACCCTTATTATTAATGTTAACTTTATATTGATTATTATATATGCATTAGCAAAGAATGAATTTATAAAAGAAATATCAATCAAATATGAAGTTGATTGTAAAAAGGTTTTTTCTTGAAAAATCAATAAATAGAAATGTTACTTAAAAACTGTATTATTTAAAGACTTTTAACTTATTATTTCTTTGCAAATGCTGCCTTTTTAATTGAAACTCATAAAGAGAAATTTTTTTATCATATATATTTTACACAATTTAATGATTGCACAGTTGAATACTTAAACTTTCTAAAAATAAGGAATTTGATTTTTGAAAAAACAAATATAAAGATTATCATTAGATTTAAATTAAGGTAGATAATAATACAAAAATTTATTTATACCTTTTTATAAATTGTGAAAATATGTCACAATTAATTGATCATATCCAATCTTTAATCGAATTGTGGTCAAAAACTGGAAACGAATGTTCTATTTTATAAGGGGTTAGAGGATTAATGTTCTAATTGATAAAATAAAATTGGATTCTGATTTTGAATGAGAAAATAAACTAACTTACTTGATCTTAATTTATTAAAACTAACTAGAATATATGAATATTAAAGAAATTTAAATATTAACCAAAAAAATGACTAAGTTAAGACATTTTACAATCCTGAACTTTAACTATTTTAATTAATCTTATAAATTTAATTCATATTTTTTGGATTTAATTGGACAATTCAGTCAAAATATATAATCTAATTTTTTATCAGGATGTAACCTATCGCAAATTACTTTATGAAATTCTTTCCTTTAATTTAAAATTTTTGATCAACAATAAAAACTCATTCCCTCATGTCTGTGATTCTAGAATTAATTTATAATTTTTTTAATAGTCTATCCACAATTCTTTAAAAATAACATATGTAAATACAATAATTATAGATAATTAATAAAAATTAAATTCATTGCTTCAATTTATTTTCACAGAAATCTAATTTAAAAGTTAAGAATATCCTTCTAGTTTATTGTTCATAGATGATTTGGTTATATTATTAGTGATTTTTCATAATAAATCAGAGCTTCTTTATATTTTTATTAATCTTGTAAGCAATTCCCTTAATATCCAATAATAAATACCTTTACATTAAAGAGAAAACGTATCCTATTAATTAATGGAGAGGGCTAAATCTAATAATTTTAAGGATTCATCATATTTCTTTAATGATCTTAAACAGTCTCCTATTGATATTATGATTTATCTACCTTGATTAGATAAGGAATCAACATGCTTAGGATCAATATTAATGCTTTGTCCAACAAAGTGATTGCATCCTCATATTAATCCAACATTTTTA